GAGAGAGAGAGAGAGAGAGAGAGAGAGAGAGAGAGAGAGAGAGAGAGAGAGACTGACTTGATTTCATGGTTCTCAAGCATGAAGTTGGTAGATGACAATGTAATATTGTGGTGTGAAAATGTTGGACATGGTTGCATCCACCCTATAAATTCAATAGCTCTGCTTCATCTGAAATTTTGCTTTTATAACTTAATTCTGTTCAACTGTAGTTTGAAAATGTTAAATGGGAAATGCCATAAATAAACAATGTGTTAGTTTTAAATGCCTACCATTCTGAGTAATATGATATCTGCTGTCATTCTTTATCCCAGCCTCATACCCAGGATGTAAATCATCCCTCTGCCCCTCAAATTCACACTGTATAAGCCACTCATGTACTGTTACTTAGTAACTATTTTAGTTATCATACCAAATGTGGATTGGAGTATTCACCTGTGTTCAAGTAATTGCTCTTAATGATGAACCCAGATGTGGGAGTGGTAGTCTTGGGAGTTCAGCTATGCCTTTGAGAAGCATAAATTCTTCCTTGAAGTGAACAGTAGTTCTTGAATTAATACAATAAACATTTTAAAGTCATATGCTAAGATCTGTAGTAAGAGTAAATTTCAAGCCCATGAAATTTTAAAGAAGAACAAATGTATCTAATATTGATGTTGAAATCAAACTGTAGAAGTTAGAGCCATAACATGTGACAAATGATTAGTTATAATGAAAGAGCAAAAGCTTTCCATGTTATCCATAGTTTCTGTTAACCACTATAAGTCTTAGGACTTATCCCCTGAGTAAGGTAAGGAGAATACTATATCAAATTAGTTTCTTAATGTTAACAAACATACCACAGCCATGTAAAATGGTAAGAATAGAAAAAGGGACACAATGAATATATAAGAACTCATCATTATCTTCATATTTCCTATAAATTTAAAATTATAAATTTAACTTTTAAGTATAGGTTATTTGAGCCAGGCCTTGTGGCCTTTAATATCAGAACTTGGGAAGCAGAGGCAGGCATATCTTGTGAGTTCCAGGCCAACCCGATTTATATACCAAGGTCTATGCCAACCAAGGCTACAAAGTGAGACCCTGTCCAAAATACAAACAAAACAAAAACATAGATGGATGGTAGATAGATAAATAGATAGATAGGTAGATAGATAGATAGACACATACATACATACATACATACATACATACATACATACATACATACAAGATAAATGGTTCAATGGCTACATGGATGCATAAATGGATAGATGGTAGACAGACAGACAGATCAGTTGATGGATGGATAGATAGAATTGGCAGACATTATAAACCTGCTGTGCATTTTAAGGCATTATCTCCAATGGATGCATTTGAGTAGACTTTTCAATTGTACAACATCTTTGTCTAGTTTTCCCCCTGCCATCTGCTCAGGACTTAAAGGGAAGCCTAAGGATAATAATAAAAGAGTAAAGTACACATGAAAACCCTCTGTTCTGCCTCTGAGCTGTTGTTATTTCTTGTGTATTTTTCTGTGTATTAAAGCAGCCTCACTAGCCCATCATTTCACAGCCCAGAAGCAGCATATTTTTTCCCAATTTCCTTAATAGAACATTTTATAAGGGATACATTTTAAGAGGTGTTGGTAGCTATCTGGCTCTTTCCTAGAAAAAGAAAGGTTTGTAGCCCTGATTCCAATCCAAGGACACTGAAGCCATTTTATAGTCCTGTGAGATTAATAGATCAGGAATTAGAACGTGGCACAGTTCTAATGTCTTATAAATCAGTAATTTCTGTCTGTCAGTATAAGAAAGATAGAGCAGGAAAGACACTAGTTAAACTCCTATCCTCACTACTTGCTGTCTGTGTGATTGTGAGGAACGCCTGCCATACCTCTGTGATTAAATTTACTAGTCAAACTCAGAGAGTGGTCCCTTATTAAAAATTTGTAAAATTCTACTTGTAATGAAAATGCAGTTCAGTTACTGAGAGAACAGCTCAAGTATCCAGAGGCTCTCTCAAGATGTTGATCTGTCTCATCAGTAAACCTGGAATGATGTGAAAATGTGCTGGGCACCCAGACTACTACATCTTTCTGCATAGGCATTTGTATCTTCATTTCTGTTTTGCAGTTTCAACTCTAGTCTCAACCACTAGTACATTCCAGAATTCAAATAGGAAGTTATCTGTAAGAAGTATGTTCCTTGTAAGGGCATGACCTGGAAGCTAATCATTTCCACTCAAAGCTCATTGGCCACAACCTACTCATGTGGCCCCAACTAACTACAAAGAAAGCTGAAGATACGTTTTAACCAGGATACAATTTACTAACATATTTCTGGTTTCATGGAGAGTGGCAAAACAAACAGGAGTTTTTACTGTAAGTACCTGGGGTGGTGTCTTGTGTCCAATAAATGCCTGCCAGATGTTCTCTTTAAAGCGTTTAGAAGACAATTAATGGGAAAGAAGAAAGAAAACACCGAGACTTTAACCTGACTTTTTAAATCACTGAGAATTTAGAATGTACTTTTTTTCTAGGCAGATATATTTTCATTTGGAACTTGTTATATTCATCAATGAAAACACAACTCCCAAGAAGCAAGCTTTCTATTCACCCTAAAGAAAAGCACTTACAGAGGCCAGTTCTGAAAGCATAGTTTTATATGCATCTACTTCAGTTAGTTAGTGTTCCTGCCAGCTCAGGAAACATCAGTGAACCAACCCAGGAGGAGCGAAGCTTCCATGCAAACCAGAAAATACAGAGAGAACATGGTACTTACATTTAACTTAGAAATTCTTTTGTTGGTTCAGTTAGCTCAACTGTAATTTTATTAATCTGAATTTTTCTGTTGTTTACTCTTGGTACGGGTTTGGTTTAAACCTTTTAATATCTTAATAACAGGTGTGGAACTTCACCTGTATTGGCCTATTTCCATTTTTCTTGTTTAATATGAGTGCCTTCCTGAAAATATTTAAACTAACCTAATGAGTTGCAACTGTTTTATACTGGACCCCATTCATACTAACCTTGCCTAGGACATTCTTACATTCCACAGGACACAACCCCAGCTTGTCAGCTTCTTGTGTGATTTATCTGACCGCACTGTTACCCAGCTGGCAGCTGAACAGGGCTTAGTTGGCCCTGCTCTTTGGGTGACATTGGCAACATGAGGGGTGAACATGATACTCGTTATATTAATCTGCTTGGGCTGCCATAACAAAATACCTAAGACTTGCTTAACATTTATTTCTTACACTTAGGGAGACATAGAAATTCAGGACCAAGGTCCTAGCTGTTTTCATGTCTGGTGAGGGGTCTCTTCCTGGCTTGCAGACATCTTACTTCTCATGTGTGTAGAGGGGTCAGGAGATGGAGAGAAGGATGGACAGGAAGCAGTGAGAATAGAATCTTTGTTGCTTTCTCTCATGTCATATTCCAATGCAATTACATGGTGTCTGTGTGTCAATATACAGGTTAAAGGGAGCACACATGTGTAGTCTGGGACTTGTCCTGGGCTACCCTGGGCAACCTGTCAAAAACGTCAGTGGTACTAGAAGAAAAGATTGCCCAGTGGCTTCCTAAACTCTCTTTCTCTAATGAGACCTCTGGTTTAATTCATTTTGTGACCGCACAGAGGACTTAGGAATTTGCAAACTGTTCAGATACAATGATTTAAGAAGTGGTATTTTAGAGTACTCTACAGTTTTCCTACACTAGCCCCTGAATCCTCATAGTAACCTTGGTTTAAAAAAAATGTTTGGATTACTTCTTTGCCTCTATTGTACAACAAATCGAAGTTTGAAGAAGTTCACTGGTTTGCCTGAGATCTCAGAGCTAATAGTTAATAGACACTGAGATTCTATTCCAGGCCTTTGGGTTTTTAAACCACATTAGATCAATCGAAGCTGGAATTTGGCTCAAGAGCCACTCAGGTTCGGTTTTGATTCAAGTTCTGTCACTTATTAACAGGAAGTAGACAAGTTACTTAACTCACTAGAGTCCCTCGGTCTTCTCTGTGATATGGAAATAACTGAGTGTGTTCCATAGGGCTCTAATGAAAATTAAATCATAGTACGTATAGAATCCACTTAGAAAAGCACGTGCTATGTAGAAGAGAGTTCAAAATCACTGGCTTTTATCTCTAAGTACAGATCAAATCCAATTAAATTTAACTCGGAAACCAAATTTATACATTCTATTGGACTTTATAATAAAGTCTAATTCAATTTATATATTATATTGACAGACTGCAAAATACTTTATTTACAAGCTTGTAACATTTATAGAATTCACAATTCAGGTGTGAGGTTCTTGTCACCTCAGCACCTGTCTCTGTCTTACTTATACTTATTCACATATTTATTCAAGGTATGTTTATACCTGCTCCAGCAATGGGTTTAAACAGCAAATAGTTGGTGGATACTTGATGAACATGTATCGGTTACAATTTAACCAAGCCAATGAGTTCTTACATTTATCATCATCATCATCATCATCATCATCACCATCATTATGATTCCATTGGTTTGTGATTATTTAGTCCTTATTAATAAAAGAAACTGACTTTGGAATTGTCAGTTTTATCTCACACCAGAAAGTCAGTAACGGATACTGATGAATGCAGGCTAATAAATTGTTATCAAAGAAACAAACAATAAAAGAAAATTCACTGCTTTGAAATTTGGGACACAAAAAAGTCAAATTAATATTTTCAGTTTTTATATACATTTCTCAGGACTTGATCCCTATCAAAATACTTTATCTTTCTATTAGTTTGATTCCACAAACTCAGCATAAGAGCCTGTAGTACCCTCAGCTGATATAAGCCATCATGACAGGAAGTATCCTCCTAATACACCCAGATTTGAGAATATTTAAATGTGCATGCTAAGCAGATTAGCAACATATACTTGCTCATCAGTCCTGGTTCCCATCTGAAAGAGGTAATTATGAATTTTCATCCATTTCTAGTTTAGTATGTGTCCATGCCTGTGGATGAACAATGAAAGAAATCTTATTTGGATATTTATTTTTGGTTAAACTTTCACACAGGAAGCCATACATTTTTCTTGGCTAGAAGAAACTAGACCAAACCAAAACTTACCTTACTGGAAGCAAAGTACATTAGTAACATAAATGTCATTGCCTCTGTTCTGTGATCAGCTGAGCAAACAGTCGAGGGCCAAGGTGACTTTGAGGCTTTAGGAACAGAGTCTAATGATTTTGAAAGTCAAAAAGAAGGAAGGAAGGAAGGAAATTTTAAAAACCACTTCCAACTGTGTATGGTGGGTAGTCAGTTCTGTTCATGATTGAAAATTACTAATGAGTTTATTAGAAAATGTTTTTTAGAGTCAGGGCAGGGTGTCTATGAACATGTGCATGCTTCAGATGAACTACGACATAAAATTTGTTTCTTAGCTTTATAAGTAGTCCCAGAGTGACTGTATGTACATGGACATACATCTTCTCAAAGTCTTGATGTGGAGGGCAAAATTAATATTTTTTTAGTTTACTTTTCTGTGTAATTGTTATATTGCTACAGTTCTACATTGTGTCACATATAGCTCTTCACTTATGTTTATTCTGTTTCTAGTTTCTTTGGTTTTTAAATGTATCATTACCATTCCACAAAGTGCATTTAAAGGTCAGGGTACAACTTTTAGGGATCCTTTTCTCCTTTCACCTTGATGAGGCATGAACTCTTTAGTTGTTTCTGCAATGTTAAGTATTCCATGCTAGCTGGCCTGAAAGCT